CAAAGCCAGACAATTGATGGCCAGGACCCCCCAGGATTGTATTTCCCTTGTTATGGTTTCCCCCCTGGTGTTTGTATGAAGTGTCTGGGCACTGGCTCTGCTCTGAGCTTTGTTTAGAAGGTGCTGCCAAGGTAATTCTGCTCCCAGCACCACGTCCCTGCAAAAACTGAGTCCATCCTGGGAAGCTGTTCCTGTTCCCCCTCTTATCCTGGGCACTGAGCTGGCTCTGGACCCCAAATTCTTGCTCTTAACGTTGCCCATAACTCAAAGCAAACCCTACAGAAAGCCCTGAGTGGGCTTTGCTGGAGCTTTGAGCCCTTCCCTGCTTGCACAAAAATGGATGCACAGGGTTTCCTGTTGGATGAGTTGGGGAGAAAAAGATGGGAATCATCCCCATTTGAGGATGGAAGATGTAAAATGGGCCCGTCTGTGGGGATGCTCCCAATAATGCCTCCAGCAAGTCGTGGTTCAGTCATCACCAAGCAAGCAGCACAGAATAACCTGTTATCCATAAATCAAGGGGTAATGATATCTGGGATATCTCCAAAATCTTCCTATAAAATATTGCCATTACCTTTGGTTTAGCTAAACAGAAACCTCAAGCACTGGCGGGGTTTTTTTGCCCATTGTGAGGGACGAAGGACAAAAATGTGTCTAAATTCTGTAATTCTGCTCTTTTACAGAAACCCAAACATTTTCTTTCCTATAAGAAAGGGGCAAATTCTTGGAATTTAGAAAATAAATCCCTTGGGACGTGCCTTCCCCTTTCATGCACTTCAAGAGCACATTGTGATCTTCTGAGAAGCAGAATCGAAAGGGAGAAGTGAAGGCATGTGAGATGCTCCCACAGAAAACATAACTGGTGGTGCCAGACATAAAACAGATCCTTTTTTTCCAAAAATAATGTCTGGTTCAGTCACCTCTGCAGTGAAAGGAACAGGACACTGTGGTTCGAGTATTTCCTGTGGTGGCCACGTGTGATGGACCCACCTGCAGGAAAAGGAGAAGCAGCCCAAGAGTTGAGCAGATCCCTGAGTGCTCCTGGGAATCAAAAAGGTCCACGCCTCGAGTTAAAATTCCTGGAAGGTTTTGATCCCTGTGGGAGATGCCTCATGGCTGCATGTTATTTTGGTTTCTCAAGAGTCCCCGAGGTCTTCGCTGGTCCCTTGGCAAGGGGATGGACACCCTGAGGCAACACCACTGCATTTAATGGCATTAATGAGCAAAAGGAGCAGAGAAAGACTCAAAATTCCCATTCCAGAAAGGCTCAGACTCATTGCAGGGACTAAAAATTGCACATGGCTTGGAAGTCATGCACAGAATTCCTTACTCCTTGCAGAACCCAGCAGAGGGTTCCTGGGGAGGCACCAAGGAATCACACCAGGCAGTTTTTAATGCAAAGCATTGGATTTGTGCTGCACAAAACTGCTGGTTCCTGGTGAAACTTGTCCATCTCTGATCCACCCTTAAGACCCAAGTGTTGGGCATCCACCAGCCAGGGGACGATCTGCACTCCTGCAGCAGCACGTGGTAGCAAGTTGGGACACTTGTGCCTGGCCCTGGTTTATGGTGATGGACCACGACCTTGGAGCTTCCCGGGCTGACTCACCCCTGAGGGGCTGGTTTTCAACCTTAAAATAGCTGTTTTCCCCCTGTGAGTGTGCCCAGCTCTGTGGTCCCACTGGGATGCTGGTACCCCAAAAGCATCTCCATCAGTCCTTCCACCCTTCATCCCTCGTTGCAACTGGGATCAATCACTTCCCAGAGAGAGCTCTCCAGCTGGAGAACTGCCTCTGGTCCAACAGCCAAGGCAAACAAGCTGTTGAGGAAACAGCAACGAGTTGAGGGAAGTTGTTTGAAATCTTTCCTGGGTGGGAAATACCAAAGGTACCTCCAGGCCTGCAAAGATCCCAGATGCAAGTCCCCAAAATCTCCCTTCCCAACCCGCTTCACCAGAGGATGGATGAGGTGTCCCGAAACACCCACCACTTTTGGTGAAGTCATGGATGAAGCTGGAGCCTGGAGCACCACCTGGGTCCTTGTGCTCCACGCTGCTCCTTGAGGATTCCCGGGCAGAGGAAAGCCAGGAGCGGAAAGCAACCCTGAATCCCTGGGGCACGTCAGGGTGTGCCAGCAGGAGGAGAGGAAAAGGAAAGCCTGTGAAGATCGTGGCATTAATCATCTGGGGGAGGAGAGGCTCAGCAGGCCCTTCCTCCCCTGCTGACGTCCGTGGAGCTGCAGGAAAGCAGGTTGGAGAGGAAAACGAGCCAAAATGCGACTTCTCGAGAAACTCTGGGTCAGCTCCTTCTTGGAGCAAAGCCAAGGCTTCTTCTTCCGAATTCCCAACAAACCCAAGGCTTCCTGGAGCTCCCACTGAGTCCTGGCAGAGTGGGTACATTGGGCTCACAGGCTGCTGCTGGAAACTTCTCACCTGCAGAAGGAAATCTGCACTGGATGGCCAGAAGTGTGGGCCTGGGACCCCAAAATTCCACTCCACCTGAAAGTTGTTTATAATGGAAATGGAGTTATGGCGATGGAGCTTGACCAGTTTCTCCAGCTCAGAAGTCCAGCAGTGAGACAAATTGGCGTCTCCTGTTGGGGCTTTCCCCCAGTTGGCTGCACTGGTTTGACTGGTGAACGGTGACCCCAGCAAGAAGATGGAGGGCACCATCAGAGCAGACCTCAGGAGGTGAGACTTCCCCACCAAACTCCTTCTCTGCCAAAAATTGAGGGACTCAAATAGCAGGGTGAGCACATCCCCAGAGCTGGTTTAAAAAGGGAAAGCTGCTCTCAAACGTGGCCTCCTCCTGAGCAAGCCCAACCAGATCCACTCCCCCTGGAAGGCTGGTGTGGTCAGGACATTAATTCCAGGAATCATCTCCATGTCCATTATAAACAGCTTTCAGATGGCACGAAGTTTTTCACGCAAGACATCTCCAGTCTGGAGCCCAGGCAGGAGGGACCAGCCTGCATCCCTGGAGCGTCTGTGCTGGAGGAGAACCTCAAAGCCCTGAGGAACCTCCCCGTGGGGACATCCCAGCCCCAACGCTTCCCTGGAGCTTAAGCATTCCAAAAATGCTGCTTTACACCTCCAAGAGTTCGGCATTATTCGGAGGAATGTGGTCCAAATGCCTCCCTGACCTTGATCGAAGATGCTCCTCTCTGTATCCAAGCATCCTGCTGGAGGCCGGGAACCTGGATCCCGGTGGGAATGTGCGATTCCCCCAGGGAAGAGCAGCAGCAAAGGCCGCCTGCAATCAGCAGCTAATGCAGTTCCTGGCAGTGAGCATCTGGAGGAGCAGAAACCAGGCGGCCAAAGGCTCTCGGGGAGCCCAGTCCAGCCACCGTGCCAGGCCTTCTTTGCCAGGGATTAATTCAACCAAAGGCTCCAAGAAGAATCCTTTCCTCAATGATTTTTCCCAGCGAATATGTCATACGGAGAAAAAGAGGCGTCAAAACAATGCTTTGCTTGCATTCTCTTTTTCAGCCCTGGGTGCTGCCTCTGAATTTGGCTCTCCTTGTCCCTGACATTCTTGGGGGGATTCCCATTTGTTCCAGGTGCTCCAGGGCTGGGTCCAGGTGCCGGGCTCGGCGGAGGCGGTTGGGGCTGGCAGGCAGCCAGGAGCCACTCTTTTATTTCCCTCTCTTTAACACTCCCACCAGTATTTACAGTGTCCCCACAGCAGGACAGCCGGCTGCTCACCTTGGGGACCCGCAAGGACACCCACGTGGTGGCAGGGAGGGGGCCACCCGCTCCTTTTCACCAGCTTGGAGCTCGTGGGAGGCGGCACTGGAGGTGGGATAAGTGCCCTCACCGGTGGCTCATCGGAGGGTTGAGTTGTGTCCGCTCTCAGCTGCGTTCCCTGGATGTTTGTGGAAAGTCCTGGGCTCCCCATCACAGGATGCTGGGCTTGTTTGCACAAGGCATGTTTTCTGGGGAAAGACACTTTCCCCCCCTCCTTTCCTTCTCCCGGTGGGGGTTGAGGGAGCAGAGAATTTCACCAGGGCACCGAGCCATCGCCAACTCAACCCCACAAGTCCAGGCAGCCCCGAGATGCAGGTGATGGCTCCAGCCCAGCTGTGGTTGAAAATATTCCTGGCAGCTCCTGCCAGAGCCCATCTCCCCCAGCCCCAGTGTCCGGCTTGGCCGTGGGTCTGTGCCAGGATCGATGAAAGCCCACGTTGTCCATTGCAGCGCAGGCGCCAACGGGATCCAGACACCTCATTCCACCTCCCCATCCTGTCCTATCCCATCCCAAAACCCCTCAGCTCATATCTGGGTCCTGCTCTGGTGGTGCAATGAGGTGACACCAGGGAGTCCCCACCCATGGTGCTCCCATCATCCAGGAGATGCTGTTCAGCACCTTCTTCCCTTCCACATCTACCAAGACCCATCACAAGCCCTAAGAAGAAGAGCAGGTAAAAATCTGGGAGGGTGACTCGACCTTCCAGGGAAAGAAAGGGCCAAGCCCACCATCCAGCATATTCTCGGCATCCCTGGGCTGTTTATGCATCGGCCCTTTCATTCCCAACACGTCCCCCCGGGGTTCCTTTCCTTATTGCTCCTTAATGGCCCTGCTCAGGAAGCGCAGATGTTTGATCGCCTGGTTAATGAGTGCCCGAGCCACCGACCCCTCCGCTCGGGACCCGGTGCCACAGGGACACCCTGTTCCCAGGGCTCCAGCAGCTCCAAGCCTCCGGCCGGAACAATCCAGCTGTGGACCGGAGCACCCCACGCCGATAAATCCCACTTTCGGGGTTGTTGGAAGCCCCCCCCCCCCACTCCATGCCCCCTTCCATACAGATGTTCGCCCAGGATGCCCAGCCAGGTGTTTGCCGGGCAGACCACCCCTGTTCTTCCTCCCCCCCCCGCCCCAGCCCAGCTGTGCCCCTTCCCCAGCCCCCTGCGGGGCCGTCCCGCAGGTGCGGGGCCGGAGCGGGGCGGAGCGGGGCGGCCGCGGGGCGGAGCGGGGCCGGCGGCGGCGGCGGCTGCGGGGCGGCCCCGAGCGAGGAGCGCCGCTGGATCCCCGCGCATCCCGCTCCGGTGAGTGCCGGGAACGGGGCAACGGGATCAGCGGAACCGGGCAAGGTGGGCACCCGGCTGGGTCAGGGTGAAGCGGGCAGGATGGGGATGGACCGGGCAGGATGGGACCACTACAGGGTCAGACCCAACCCGACAGGATGGGACCCAACTGGGTCAGAGGGAACTGGGCAGAATGGGGCTGGACAGGGCAGGACGGGACCCTGAAGGGTCAAGGTGAAGCCGCTGCCCCGCGCATCCTGCTGCCGGGAACTGCCGCGTACGGGGGGGATCGACAGAACCGGAGCAAGATGGGACCCAGCTGAGTCAGAGTGAGCAGGGCAGGATGGGGCTGGACCGGGCAGGATGGGACCCTAAAGGATTAGAGTGAAGCCGCTGCCCCCCCAGCTCATCCCGCTGCCGGCAAGTGCCGCGTATGGGGTGGGGAGACGGAACAACCCGAACCGGGACAGGATGGGACCGGCGTGGGTCGGAGTGAACCGGGCAGGATGGGGCTGGAAGGACAGGATGGCATTGGATAGGACAGGATGGGACCCTACAGGGGCCGAGTGAACCGGGCAGGACGGGGCTGGACAGGGCAGGATGAGACCCTAAAGAGCGTCAGAGTGAACCCGCTGCCGCCCAGCACATCCCACTGCCAGTAAGTGCCAGGAACAGGGGGAACGGGATCAACAGAACCGGGGTAAGATAGGACCTAGCTGGCTCAGAGTGAACTGGGCAGGATGGGGCTGGACAGGGCAGGATGGGACCCTACAGAGTGTTGGAGTGAACCCGCTGCCAACCGGCACGTCCCGCTGCCGGTAAATGACACACGGGGGGGGACAGGACACCCCAAGCTGGGACAGGATGGGACCCAACTGGCTCAGAGTGAACTGGGCAGGATGGGGCTGGACAGGACAGAATGGGACTGGACAGGGGGTCATGGTGAACTGGGCAGGATCAGACCCGAAAGGTTCGGACGGGACTGGGCAGGATGGGCACAAACTGGGCAGGATCGGGCCCAGAGGTGTCAGACAAAACTGGGTCAGGATGAGACCCAAGATTCAGGGCTGAATGTGGCGGGATGAGATCGGGCTGAACAGGATCAGACCCGAGGGAGTGAGCCTGAACCAGTCAGGATGGGACCCGACATGGCCAAAGCAAACTGGGCAGGATGAGATTAAGGAGCCTGGCCCCTGCCTTTATATATCTATATATATATCTATATATATATCTGTTTGTGTCTGCACAGATGTGTGTGTATAGAAGCATAAATATATTTGTATATATATGTGGATGGAGTCCTGTATACACCCGAGAGTGAGTCCCTGTGCTCAGAGACACGTATTTGTCAATAGAGGGGTAGAAGTTTGTATACACGTGTGTGTGTGACTGGAGACATATATATTTATATGTACAGAGACATGCATGTGTGTGAGGAGCCATAGATCTGGTTGTGTGTACATAGAGAGATAAATGTAGAGATGGAGAGAGATGTATATTTATGCAGAGGGCTGTGTATATTATTTATACGGAAAGGTGCAAGTGCTTGAATAAGTGTTTATGCACGTGTGGGTGCATAAATACATGAGCTTTTACGCATATTATGGATGTGTGGGTTTGGACAAACCCAGCCCTGCCCGCTGAGCCCAGGCCAACTCATTGTACCTTCCCAGTTCCCAGCAGTTCCCATTTCCAGCAGGGAAATGCTGCCCAGTTGCTCAGAGTTGCTCGGAGCAACAGGGCAGGTGATTTAGGAGATGGGGCACTAAAGCCTGGAGAGGTGGAGGGGGTCACCCAGGGACAGGGTACATTGGTGGCAGACGCATCCTTGTGTCCCATTCCCGAAAGTCCATGTTTAGCACCCCAAAATTCCCTATTTGCCCCATCCTTACACCCCCAGGCTTCCCTAATTGGAGATTTTCCTTAAAACAGCCAAGCCTTGGTCCCCACTGAGGAATCCTGGGGCAGAGGGGATATATCCTTGGCCACCTTGGGATCAGCCAGGCAATGTTTGGGGACAAGGATGTGGTGGCTTTGGCCAAGGGAACACACGGCAGGGGAGCGTCCCCCCTTCATCCTCGGAAATCTGCTGAGCCGGAGCTTTCGCTTCCCTCCAGCCCAGCTTTGTCCAGCCCTGTTGGGGAGCCACAACCCACCCTCCCCACCACCACGGAGGAAGGTTTCCAAGGCAGGAAACCCCCTTCCTTTATCCTATTTGAGGACAGCAGCCGCCAGGATATTTTCCCACTGGATCCAGCTTGCAGAACCCCCTTCCTATTAATACAGGGTGTTAATTAAAGCTAATTCCATGGGAGAGAAGGGCTGGCGTGAGATGGTTGGAGGGGGGCTGCTGGGGAGCAGGACCAGGGATTATTTTTAATCTCTTCCCCATCTGGCCACAGAACAGTCCCACTTCTCTTTCCCAACCCTTGTTCCTCCCCCATAGGAACCTTAGATCCCTGAGATAAGGGTGATCCCATCCTCCAGAGAACCCCAAACACCACGGCCACCCCTTTTTCCCCCCTAAAAGTCTGATTTCACCATGGATTTCATGTTTTGCCCATCACAGTGGCATCAGGGCACCCCCTTTCCCCCTTAAAAGTCTCATTTCCCAATGGATTTCGCCAGCACTGTCGCATCGGGGCACCAGGACCATAATCCCGTGGATTTGGGAGGCACCGGCCCCATCTCCCCGGGCAGGGATTCCCGTGAGGGTTTTTTGTGGGTGAGAAAAGGGATTTTTGGGGATAACCCTCCCGGCCCGACGATGAGCTGTGCCCGTGTTGTAGGGGTGTCCGTGTGGGCAGAGTGGGGGTGTGCGGGATGGGTGGGGTCCACGTGATGCCCACGGCGCCACTCCACGCAGCCCAGTGCCCACCCCGCCGTGCCATGCCGTGCCATGCAGTGCCACGTGAAGCCCCCGGGGCCGTGCCGTGCGGTGCCCACGCTGCCAGCCGGGTTCCGTTCCCGTTTCCCCCCGGAGCCGCCGTTGGCTGGAAAGGGGAAGCGCTCCTTGCTCAGCACCCCGGGGGGAGGGCACAGACCCGCCCCGTGCTGGGCACAGCGGCAGGTCCCAGCACCCCGTGGCGCCCACTGGCACCCCTTGGCACCTTGGCAGGTAGGATGCTCTCCCAGGTCCCCCCTAAATACCCCTTTGCCGGCCACTTTGTCCCCACGTCCTCGGGGGCGGAGCACACGGGATGGCAGAGGCTCCTGTGGGTGCTGCCCCAACCTTGGGGGGTCCTGGGGGAGGTTTGGGGGTCACAGGGGAGGTTTGTGGGATTCAGGGGATAGGGAATTCCGCAGCCCTGTGGCACTTACTGGCTTGGATGTGGCAGAGGTGGGTGCTGGGACTGCCCGGAGCTGGGGTGACAGTGGGGTGGCAGAGGGGCTCGACAGGGCTCAGCGGGGCACAGTGGGGTTCTGGGGGCTCAGTAAGGTGCGAGGGGCTCAATGGGGGGGGTGCAGGGGCACTCAGTGGGGTACCAGGGGGACAGGAGGCATGTGCAGCATCCCCAGGCCCAGAGCACCCCCAGAACTGTGTCACCAACACTGTCCCCACGCCCGCCCCCGTGGCTGCGCCGGGCTGGGCTCCTGGCGGGTGGCCTGTCCCGGGATCGGCGGGATGGGTGACGGGCTGTGGGGCTTTGGCACCCCCTGCAGAGGAGCAGGAAGCCATGCCGGCCGTAACGGCACCTCCTGCCGCAATTTCCTCTCCCGCAGCGGGATGAGGGGAGGGTTGGCCTTGTGCAAACCTTCCTAAGGGCTGTAAATGCCACGGGGAGTGGAGCTGAGATGGTGGTGACTGTGGTCACCTCACTGTCCAGTGTGTCACCAGCTCGTGTGTCCCACTCTCTCCGCCTTCACCTTCCTGTCAGACCCCTAAATCCACTCTCGTGGCTTAGAACCGTGGAATCACAGCATGGTTTGGGTTGGAAGGGACATTAGAGATCATCTTGCTCCACCCCCTGCCATGGGCAGGGACACCTCCCACTATCCCTGGTTGCTCCAACCTGGCCTTGGACACTTCCAGGGATGGGGCAACCACAGTTTCTCTGGGCAACCTGTGCCAGGGCCTCCCCACCCTCACAGCCAGGAATTCCTGCCCATTATCCCACCTATCCCTGCCCTCTGGCAGTGGGAAGCCATTCCCTGTGTCCTGTCCCTCCATCCCTTGTCCCCAGTCCCTCTCCAGCTCTCCTGGAGCCCCTTTAGGCCCTGGAAGGGGCTCTCAGGTCTCCCTGGAACCTTCCCTTTTCCAGGTGAACCCCCCCAGCTCTCCCAGCCTGTCCCAGAGCAGAGGGGCTCCAGCCCTGGGAGCAGCTCCGGGGCCTCCTCTGGACTCTCTCCAAGAGGTCCACATCCTTCTGGTGTTGATTCCCCATGTCTGGAGCAGCTCTGCAGGGGGGTCTTACCTGAGGGGGCAGAGGGAAAGAATCCTCCCCTCCCCTGCTGCCCACGCTGTGGGATCAGCCCAGGGCAGGGGGGTTCTGGATGCCAGAGCACACAGACAGGGCACGTTCAGCTCCTCAGCCCCCAGCACCCCCAAATCCTCTTCAGGGCTGCTCCCCATCCCCTCATCCCCCAGCCTGGGTGGATACTGGGGGCTGCTCCATCCCACGGAGTCACACAGGTTCATCCTGGGGGATGTGACACCGCACAGACGAGTCCCCCACTGTCCCCTTTGTCACTCACAGGTGCTGCTGAGGGGCTACACCGGTGGAGAGGACACTGACAGGGTGGCAACGCTGCCATGGCCAACCTGACGGCCCTGGTGGGCGCCGGGAGGAACTCGTGCACCTTCCACGAGGAGTTCAAGCAGGTGCTGCTGCCCCTGGTGTACTCGGTGGTGTTCGTGGTGGGGCTGCCCCTCAACGCCGTGGTCATCGGGCAGATCTGGGTGGCGCGCCAGGCGCTGAGCCGCTCCATGATCTACATGCTCAACCTGGCCGTGGCGGACCTGCTCTACGTCTGCTCCCTGCCCCTGCTCATCTACAACTACACCCAGAAGGACTACTGGCCTTTCGGGGACTTCACCTGCAAGTTCGTCCGCTTCCAGTTCTACTCCAACCTCCACGGCAGCATCTTCTTCCTCACCTGCATCAGCGTCCAGCGCTACCTGGGCATCTGCCACCCCCTGGCCTCGTGGCACAAGCGGAAGGGGAAGAGGCTGACGTGGCTGGTGTGTGCCGGGGTGTGGTTCATCGTCGTCGCCCAGTGCCTGCCCACCTTCGTCTTCGCCTCCACGGGCACGCAGCGGAACCGCACGGTGTGCTACGACCTGAGCGCCCCGGACCGCTCGGCCGCCTACTTCCCCTACGGCATCACCCTCACCGTCACCGGCTTCCTGCTGCCCTTCGCCGCCATCCTGGGCTGCTACTGCAGCATGGCCCGCATCCTGTGCCAGAGGGACGAGCTCATCGGCCTGGCCGTGCACAAGAGGAAGGACAAGGCCGTGCGCATGGTCATCATCGTGGTCATCGTCTTCTCCATCAGCTTCCTGCCCTTCCACCTCACCAAGACCATCTACCTGATAGTCCGCTCCTCCGACGGCGTGCCCTGCCCGGCCCTGCAGGCCTTTGCCATCGCCTACAAGTGCACCAGGCCCTTTGCCAGCATGAACAGCGTCCTGGACCCCATCCTCTTCTACTTCACCCAGCGCAAGTTCCGCGAGAGCACCCGCTACCTCCTGGACAAGGTGAGCTCCAAGTGGCGCCACGACCACTGCGTCACCTACGGCTCGTAGGGGAGGACGGGGCCACCTCAGCGACAGCATTTTGACTTTTCAGCCCCATGGCTTCAGCTGGGGACGTTCTGGAGGACAGGAGGACGGCATCTCCCGAGCTTCCAGCACTGTCATCCCATCTCCAGCCCGTAGCGGCGCAGTATTAACCCACCACAGTGTCCTCTCCCTGGCTCAGTTGCTCAGCTGGAGCAGCTCAGCACCACGTTTGGTGGCCAAGCCACCAATGCAATAAAAATCCACTGGAGAGTGTGGTGGGTCCCTGGCTCAGGAGGAGCTGCTGGGGGACAACTTCTCCCCCTACTCAAAGAGAAATTCCCTGGTGGGAAGGTGAAAAGGAGACACCCTCTCCCAGGCTGGGGAGGGTTTAAGCTCAACTCATTACCTGTCTGGCAGTCACGGGCCCACGTGTTTCTCCAGCTCAAGATCCGTGTCGTGGATGTTTCTTGGACGTCCCCAAACCCCAGTCCCCTGAATGGGGCCACACCAGCAAGAGGCAGGGACCCACTGGTGTCACTGGTGCTGCAAAACGGTGGCAGGACATCGCTGACCAGACTGGGGACTGGGAAAGGGGATGTATGGGTAACTGGGACATTACTTGGGTTTTCCACCCAAGCCATGACCATGGGCTGGGTCAGACAGAAGCCAGCAACATTGTCACATGCGTGGGGACCTTCAGCATCATCTGAGTCCAGCTCCCTGCTTAGCCCAGCACCCCAAACCTGGCCCATCCTGTCGTCTGTGGTGCCCTGCTGTCACCTCCAAACCAGGACCCACCAAAATCAGAGCCAGCACACCTGGACACAACACCTGGAGTTGGGAACCCCATGTCCCTGAGCTACTCAGTGTCCTCAGCCGTGTCACTGCACGTCCCACCTTTGGCGTGGCCCCTCCACTGCTCCCACACTGCACTGGTGATTGAGCTTTGCTCCCACAGCCTCTGGATGCTGCTCCCTTCTAGCAGGGAGGGACTGGTGAGGTGGACACCCCACTAATCGCTCTGCCAGTCTCCTTTAAGGTGTAGGATGCACGGAATAAGGCTCCCCCTCTCCTCGCTGCCTCTGCACACCCACTGTATGTGCATCCAGAGAATATCTGTGAGCAGGGGGAGGGCTGGGCCCAGCACAGGCTCCACCTGAGCACAGCATATGTATCTATAAGTGTATGTGTGTATATAGAGTATAAATACAGAGATATATATATAGACAACTGCGGTTTTCACTGGTTGTCATAATCACATCTGAGTCGATTTAAGGAATTCGCTTCAAACCTCCAGGGTTGAACATCCCTCCAATTTGGGGCTGCCTGCACCTGGCCAAGGGTGCGACTCCACTTGCTCCCTGCAGGTACCCGGTGTCCTC